CAGGGGTCAGGGCCTGCGTACTTGGGCCAATGGCTGCTGCCTTTCCAGACGTGTGGGAAGGATGCTGACCAGACTTGGAGCAGTGGGACTCAGATCAGAACTCCAACATGGATGCTGATGATCTAAGCAGCAGCTCAACCTTCCACAACGGGCTCCATAAGTAATTTCTTACAGGAGGAACTGGCCCAATCACATTACAAACTGCCTATGTCTGAAGGACACAGTGGCACAGACCAAACATTGGGCTTCCACAGCTTCAATTCTGCTACTGCTGCTGTTCATCCTGTTTGTCCTAAGAAACTGAAAACACTCAACCTCTGAATGCCAACTGTCCACGCAAAGCACACTCACATTCCACTCCCAACAACAAGTAGTGGCTGAACTAAAAGACCCAAAGCTACCAAATCTCAAAGTGAAATCCTAGTCCTCCTTGGGCCTGCACAACCCCACAGGTCAACTGGTTTACTCTGTAGAAATTAATACAGAGAGTGCCCCTGGGAACAGCCCTTTTATGTACAGAGCAGACTTTAACAGCCAAGTAATTAAACACTGAAAGTAAGAGCGTATAATTAAAATGCTGACAAACCTGCACCAACGCACACAAGTTGGCTGCTCTAATATTTTTACAATTCCCTTTTATACATAATGTATGACCCTTCTGCTCAAGTTTCCTCTATGTTCTTTGCCTGTGAAATAATTTACATTAATAAATAATTTATTACCATAACTCCTACAGTAATTATGGTTTCTATCTAATTTTTCTCAGCAGATGAATTGTTCTGCTCTCTGTCCTCTGACTTGTATTGGCAAGTCTTCCCAGTGGCCTTTCAGAAATAACTGGTATTGCTGTCGCCTTCTTACACACTCTGTGATTTCCAGGTCTCCTCACCCAAGCGGCATGAAACACGGAATGTGTGGCGTCCATTGTCCCTACAACACAGCACTTGTTTAACGGCTGCAATCAGCCAGAGGTGGTGAAGGGTGCCTGCTTTCACACCACTCGCCCTGTTTCATCAACGAGGATTAAACCAGCACACGCACCTCCAGGGGCTGGCTGCAGGCACCCCCACTGCCAGTGAGTGGCAGGTCTGGAGACTGCCGTGTGCTCCAGCTTTTCCACAGCCCCCAGGACGCCCGCAGCCCAGGTCCCTTACCTGACCCACTAGCAGTTAGGGGCTGGATCAGGGAGCTGGTTTGCAGCCTGGCTAGCTGACCAGCACTTCCTGTGTGAAGAGCAGAACTGGTCATATAGACAGCTCTTTTCCAGCAAAGCTGTCTGCAGAGGAAACTCTGTCCCAGCCCAGAAGGTGGACGGGGGGTGGGCCACAGGGGAGAAAATGAATCAAGAGGCAACACAGCACCTCTGTACAAGAGGCACTGGGAGAGCCGGCCACCAGAACAGGACAGGTAGGTAGCGGCTCAGCTCTACTCTGGCCTACTACTCCCTCCCACACCTCACCCTGGCTTTGCTCTCACCCCTTCTTTGGAAAAGCACAAAACCATTTCTTTGTATTAAATTCCCAATCTGCAGTGGGACACAAGGGTGAGGCTGGGCCTGGTCCACAGCTCCCAACCACAGAGCCAACAGCACTGTGAGAAACCTGCGTGTACTCTTGATTGTATCTGTTGCAGCAGGCAGAGGCAGCCACAGGACCAGTACCAGGAAGGGTGGCATGTTAAGCAGTAGCAAGCAGACCACTGACCTTCTCACCCAAACACATCTGCCCAGGTTTTCCTGAGAACATTCAGGAAGCTCAAACTCACACTGGCTTCCAGCTTGGACCCTGCATGGAGCTGGGACAGAAAAACCCTGAGTCATGGGGCCAGCTGTTCCCAGATCTCACGGGAGACTGCCACTGAGCAGGGCCGGAACATGAGTCCTTTATCTCCAGGAGACAGGCTGGAGTTGGCAATTATTATAATTTGGTGTTTTATCTGTGCCTAGCATTGTCCAGCTCTGAAGAGCCAAAAAGTCCAGCAGGTCCCTCAGGGTATTCTCTTCCCTGCTCCTGAAAAGCAGGCACACCTAAGATGAAATCGCAAGGCCTGGCGTGCACTCAGTTCCTGGCATGGGAGAGGCCACAGAACCTCCATTCCTCCATTCCTAGGTTGGATGGGCTGAGAGGTAACCTCAACTCCCCCACACTCCCTCTGCTGACACTCCTGCTTCAGCAAGGGCATGGACCTGATGGAGGCCAGGGTCAGGCTGGCACCCCTGCTGGGCTGCTGTCTCTTTACAGCCCCACAAGCACCTGCCTATTTGCAAGGTGAAGAAATCAGGGTGGACTGCTTGCAGTTCTGTGGGCCTCTCCAGTTTGGAAAGTCGGACTAGGCCCTGGAGAATTCATTGCTTGCTCTTCCTGCTGCTCCACAAGACAGGAATCTCCCTGAAGGCACAAGCAGGGTCTGATTCACGCCACCCCTGCTCTGAGTGCTCAGCATACACTGGCAACCAATTCACACTAACAAGGACATGCCACCAAATGAACGAAGGCAAACAAACAAACAAACCAAAAAGCCTCGGCCACATGCGCTGTCCCTGGGTAGGGGTTTCTCTGAACCAAGCAAAAGGCAAGCAGATGCAAGGGAGAGATCACGCAGGAGGTAGGGACTCCATAGCATCTTGGACACTGGCCTGTGGACAGAGAGTGGACAGGACTCTGCCAAGGCAACGCACTTCCTGAGAAACCACCCCACAAACAGGACCTGGAGAAGCAGCAGGTGCACCTGGACTGCCTAAGCGGGAGACCAGTCTCTTGGGGAAAGGCAGGCCTCCTTGGGAGAGAGCAGACTGAGGGCTTCCAGGGGCTCCCATTCCTGGCTCTGGGGCTCCACACACACCTCCCTGCAAGGGCAGCTCTCTGAGCTGCACCCCTCTCTGAGCTGCACCCCTCTCTGAGCTGCACCCCTCTCCCAGGGGGGCATCACTGGTCCCGCAGATGGAACTCAGAGCCCTTTCCTCCGGGAGCAGGGTTCTCTACATCTCAACCCTTTTTATTCTGTTTTTGTTCCAAATTTATTATTTACCCTCATTTTATTGGGAAAGTAGAGAAAAAGAGATTTTTCATCTATTGTGCATTCCCCAAATGTCCCTGACAGCTCAGGTTGTGCGTGGTCAAAGCTAGGAGACAGGAAAACTCCCTCTAAGTCTCCAGGAATCTGAGCCATAGTGTGCTGCCTCCCTGGGTGCAATATTAACAGGAAGCTGGATCAGACACCAAGGCAGAACTCAATCCCACGCACTCCAGTGTGGGATGTGGGTCCCAGGCAGAAGCTTAACCAGCTGTGCTGCAACACCCTCCTCTGGGCTTGCATTCTTATCTGTTTATCTGAGACACAGAGAGAATTCCCACCTGTTGCTTCACCTGCCAAATGCTCATAAAAGCTGGCCAAGACCCAGCTGAGCCCGGGCTGAAGCCAAGGCTGAATTCAGGAGCCATGTCTCCCACACTGGTGGCAAGAATCCACTTCCTTGTACTATGTCCGCCACCTCCCAGGGTCCACATGAGCAAGGAGCTGGAGGTGGGCAGTAATCCCAGGAGCCCATCCAGTGTGGAACAAGGGCTCCTGAACATCACTACAGTCCCTGGGCCAAGGACCCACTCCTCAGAACTCCTCTAAGCTCATCACTCTTGGAGCAGTTTCTGCACTAAATCTACAAGCACCAGGCTACCCAGTTCACGGGACAAACCTACAATGTCCTTACATCAGAGCTGCATTCTGAAGGAAAGCAAACAGGAGTTCAGAGGGAACACTCGAGCCCCAGCACTGCCCATTTAAACCACCACAAATTCCACCTTGTTTTGAGGCCCAGTGCTAGGGTCCAGCATGTCTAATGCATGAGCCACCTGCAAGTAAAGATTAGCAGCTTCACAACCCGGTGTGGGGGGCTGGCCCCAGCTAGAGCTGACGTGTATGCAGGGCGGAGTAGCTGGGCATGCCCAGGGCCAGCCGCCCTCTTCCCAATCACGAGTGTTGCTGGGAGGCTCCTGGGCCCATGGCAGGGCACTGAGGGTTGGCACAGGCCTCCAAAGCATGCTGGGCAGGGAAACCAGGACCAGAGGATCTCCCTGCTTCTGATTCCTCTGCCTGGCAGCATTCAAGAGGTCCACTCAGGACCCTCTGCTGTGGCACATGACCAAGCAGTAAGCAATCTCCCTTCTCCCAAACCTGGGTCCGACACTGCCTCCCATGGAGAGGGTGGCCTTCCTGGATCTGGGCTCGCCTCCCGTGGATTGGCAGGCCCCACCCCTGTCCTTGCAGCTACACAGAGGGCATTGGGGACAGTGCCCAGCAGGTCAGATGCAGCACCCTGCTCATCCTCATCTACAAGAAATGTCTCAAAGGAAGCAGACAAAAAAGCAGTGGGCACAGAGAGAAAAGGCCGCAGGCCTTTGTATGGCCCTCAGAGGACCAAGTGGGGACCACAAGGCCTGGGGGCTGCCCACCACCCAAGTCTGACCCAACACAGGCCCTGCCAACTCGCATTTCACAAGACATCCCCAAAGCAGGCCAGGAGAGATGGCAGAAGCACAACCACCATACAGCAGCCCGCAAATGAAGACATCAATACAATCAATACCGTCTTCTCTTTTTTTCCCCTTCCAGAGGCTCTGTGACTACATGTTCACCACGGATCCAGCCACGTACAAAAACGCAAAACACATAAAATGCAAGAAGATGTCAACAGCGGCCATCACTAGGAAGGGTGACACTACTCTCCTTCCTGGTTTTTGTTTTTGCTTTTTAAAATTATGCCCTTTTTCAACCTGGATTACTTTCCTGGTCAGGTAGAACTCAGTGCTGGAGAACACAGCAGTCGTAGGTGCCAGTACCTGAACCCTCACTCACCCCAGCAGCCCCGGCCCCCTCCAGCACCTGGGGACCCAGAAGTTAGCACACAGAGAGAACAGAGTCCCCAGGCTGCTCTCGGAACCCATGTCCACCTTGGCTGCAAGGACAAGGAAAGGATGAGGGCTTGGGCCCACCAGACTACTTACCCATAATTCCACAAGAGAAAAGGGTAGGTCCTTGACTCATCTTCTTTGGCGTGTGCTGAAAACAACCAGAAAAGCCGTTGACTTTCCACGTCATACAAAGGATGCTTGCCCATGACTGCATTGCTCCCTCACTAAAGTCACACTGAGGGGGAACTGCCCATGGCCAGGAAGGAAAGAGCTCAGAGACAGCCTATGCCCAAATTGAGGCTTCTGCACCTTGCCAGGCTCCAGGCAGTCATGGACTGCAGCAAGACCTACACAAGCAATGCAGAGCAGGGAGAGGCAGGGCCTCCCAGGGCCGAGAGGAGCCTGGAGGGGCACAGAGGACCTGTCTCCCACTTCCGGCCCCCTCCCCTGGGAATGCACAAACAGCTCTTCCTTTGCTGTTTTAGAAGCCTCAGGAAAGCTGGGGCTGGGAGGGTGGGAGGGGAATGGCTCTGTGAGCCTGCCAACCCCATCCCAAGGCATTTTCTGCACATAAAGAAAAATGCGGAGGTTCTATCTGGTCTCACTGCAACAGTCACGACTTCAGTGCTTTGCTGTATCCCACAAGGGCTCCCCACTCACTGTCAGCACCTCACATCCTGCCCCACTCCACGCTGAACACCTGTTGGTGAACAAAGCCCTAAGTCCCAACACACGCTCCACAACTCCATAGTAAACCAAGCATGGAATATTCTGAGAGTTCCTAATGCCAGATCAAGACACACAGGTCAAGAGGTTCATTCTGGTGTCATGCCATGCCCAGTCAGACCCCAGGACTAAAGTGTGTCTGCCTCCAAAATTTCAGACTCACTGTCTCACTCATGCACTACTATGGAGGACAGAGGGGGAGGGGGCTGTTCACACAAGGTGAATGCAACCCCAGCTCCACAAGTGTCAGCCTGGCCCAGAAGGCTCCAGCTTCTGAGAGCAGACCCCGAAGCCTACACCCTCAAATGTGAAGTGGCTAGGAGCCCAGGCTCTGGCTCTTTAAGGCCTGGCAGGAGGGTGGAGTAAACTACAACACCTGCCCCACCCAGATAAGAGGGTGCCAAGCAGCTGGCACCAGCTCCCTCACCCATCCCCAGCTGCCCAAGCCAGGAACTTTGTCCTTGCTTGGCAATGCATTTGGTCTGTAGGGGTTACCAAGAGTCCACCCCAACGAGCCCAGGGCTGCAGAGGACACAGTGGACACACCATCACAACACAAAGCGCTGGGGCTGGAGGGCTGCAGTGCTGCCAGGCATGTGTGCTAAGGGGGCAGAGATCAGTGTTAGCTTTGGGGAGGAGAGGAGGCGTGGGGGGTGCCAGAAGGAGCTCACAGGGGACATGACAGAGAAGGGGACGGAGGATCACAGCCCTTCTCCAGCTCCCTTCCTCAAGGCTGAGTCCCTTAAAGCAAGGCAGGCACAATGGATCAGCTCACCCTCCAGGATTCCACTGTGACAGTCATCAACTATAGCTCTCCAGAGAAATATCTGGAAAGAGTTAAAGAAAACTGCACCTGCCTCCCGCCCCGCTGACACAGCGAATGTTTCAGGAGTTACAGGATGTGCGGCTGAAAGCCACACCAAAGTCACTCAGGGGAGAGGTGGGGACAGAGAGCAGCTGACAAACCCAGGAGAGCTGGCCACCTGGGCCAGGCTGCCTGCGCAACTAGGCACAATGACCCATGGAAGCCACACAGGGCCCTGACTCCATAGCCCAGGGCACAGAAGGAGAAGTCGGACCTCTCTATGGCAAAGAGACAGCTCCCAGTGCTCAAATGGACCCAGGACCCATAATAACACCCTCTGAGGGTGGAGCCCCGGCCCCACCCTGCACTGACAACCCAGCCTGGAAGTCCACAGAAGCCCACACAAGACAAAAGCAAGCAGACGTTGATGCCACTAAGGCAGATGGGGCCTTCCAAATGGGAAGGAGCAGAAGTAGAATGGCAATGATCACGGTTGGCAGAACAGAGTCCCTGGCCTTTGCGTTCTACCCTGCTCTGGACAGCGGGCACTATGGGGCATTCCTGCTCAGGGTTCCTGAGGAAGGTGGAAGCCAAAGGTGCTTATCTTGCAGCCATGGTGGGAAGTCGCTGGGCCAACACACAGGGCTTCCAGGACCCTCACTGACTCATTGCACCTTCATCCCTTCAACAAGGTCCGGTGGGTATTTGTTGTGGAGTCCAGAGAACCTCACCATTTCCCAGGTTGGGGAGCATACCTCCCAACCCACCCTACCCCACCACCTCCCAGCAGAGGCCTTCACAATGCAGGGTCACCTTTCCAAACCGGATTCAGCCCAGGCCACTGCTCAACAACCTTCCCCAGCAACCAGGGTGAGGCATCTCCTGCCCACCTCACCAGCACGGGCCACCCAGTGCTGTGTGGTGAGATCCTCCCAGGACTCTGCATCCTTGGACCCGATCCTGCCCACACAAGCAGGAGCAGCACCCACGCCATCGGAGCTGCAGGCAGGGATCAGCGTGAGCTTGTGTTACTGTCCACTCCAGGAGAAAGCAGGCTTCCTGGGAAGGGGAGGAGGGTGATATTCACAAGATCCCGACACACAGCAGATACCACAGTTGAGCCCACTTCACCCCATGGAAGCCAGATCAAAGGAAGGGAACTTTCCACTCCCCAAGTTGGTGACCTGAGGCAAGTTCAAAACTCAGGAGGTCACCAAAGTTCCTCCCCAACCACGCCTGTCCCAGATCCTCTTGCCAGCCTCAGGTCCCCATCCAGAGATGGCATCACTGAGCTCATAAACTGAAGGAACAACCTCTCCATGTCCCCTATCTTAAGTGAGCCACCCCTGGCTTCTAACACTGAGGATTCAGAACTGCAGCCCCCTCCTGTAGGCAGCACCCCAATTCTGCATCATGGTACCTCCTTCCCTGACCACACAGTGCTGTGGCAGAAATGTCAGCCACAATGTCCACAGGTCTCCTGGCACAGATGGGCATGGAATAAGCCATAGCTGGCTCTGTGGCTCTGACTCCTGAATGGGGGGTGAGGGGCGCTTTGCCTGCGAAGCACACCTACTTCCCTGATCCCCTCCCCACCCCCTCTTCTGCCCTGACCTTGTCTTCTGTGGGCCTGACTCACCAACTCTTCCAGGGGCCTGGGGAGTTCTCTGCCATCATTCCCCCAAGTCCTCCTCTGGGGTGAGTTAGCAGCAATGGTCTCTGCAACTGACCAGTGAGGAACTGGGACAGACTGTGCAGGCTTCAAAATGGGATTAGGGCCCATCTTGCTCTTGGATCCCCTTCTGTGAGGCTAGCCAGTGGTGGCCAGGCCCAGGGCTCCCAACAGAACAGGCACTCCTGACCCTGGCAGGGCTCCCCAGGTCCCAGTTCCGGGAGTTCCTGCCTGGCTCCAGGCTACCAGAGCCTCCTTCCCCCTGGCCAATCAGGGACGTGGTAACACTGACCCTGCAGCCAAACCTCTAACCTCACCACACCTGCAGCAGGAAAGCCCGGCCCATCACCAGCGTCGAGGTCCCAGGACACTCGGGGTCTACACAGAGGGCAACACCAGGCTTGGCAGAGGTTCCCAGGAAAAAAAGAAGCAGGCACATCCTCCTGGAATCTCTCACTCTTCTGGAGGCCTCTTAGGACCAGGCCCAGGCTCTGGGAGACTCTTTAGAGACTCCAAGAGAAGGGTCTGGGGTTCAGGAAGCCATAGCAAAGGCAAGAGCTGGACACCAGGCTAAGACTTAAGGGCCGAGGAAAGAATGGAACAAGGAGTCTCTAAATGGGGAAGTGGCCTGAGCCAGGCCAGAGGCACGGCCTCCCAGCCACAGCGGCAACCAAGTCACTCTTTCCTCTGGAGACAGGACGCCACAAGCAGGGGAAGATGAGGCGGGCTCAGCCCCTCCCCCTCCAAAACAGCATAATGCAGTAGAAAGAAGGTTGACCCAAGCCCTGAGGAGGCAACAGTGCCCTGAGGGGAAGTCCTCAAAGGCTTACCAGCCATCCGCAACTCTGCTGAGGTACCAGGCTGCCCAAAGAAACCACTGCACCTTCTGTGGCCAGCCAGGGCTGAGAGCTGAGGTCATGCGCCAAAATGCCAACTCAAGAGACCAGGAGTCTGAAGACCCCAGCAACCTGCCACAGCCACTTGCCCTTCAGAGCAGGCCAGTAACAGCCTGGGGTTGCTGTACCTCGTGCCAGCAAGCACAGGAGTGGGGGAGGTCGGGCAGCCGGGGGCTCCCTCTGCCCTCTGCCCGGGAGCCGCCTCTCACCAGCTCTCTTTGGTCTCCAGACTCGAGAGAGGTCCGAGATATGCCAGGGAGAGAAGGCAGGCCCAACCACAGGAGGTGGTCACTGTGGAGATGAGAACAGGCGCTGGGCCCAAGTGTGGGCGTGTGGAGAGCAGCCAGGGGAGTGCAGTGCTCCCAAGGCCAAGTGACTGGGCAGCCTTCCAGGGGCAGCGGCTCGTGGAGGGACGCGAGGAGGAAGGGCCTCAGCAGAGGACAGCAGCCAGGCAGAGTGGGAAAGGGGAAGCAGGCAGGCTCGGCCTGGGCTGTGGTGCCGCCCGCACCCTGGCCATCCCCGAGCCAGGGAACATGGAACACTGACAGCTGCTCTGTCATATATATATATATATATGGGGGGGGTCTCTGTCTCTCTCTCTGCCTCTCTCTCTCCAGGGAGGAGAAGAGTCACGTCCCCAGCATTTTTTAAAAAAATGATTTTTAAAAAAATCTTTTAAAAAAAAGAGGCCGGGGCGGGGGGGGGGGGCAGAGTATCTCACCCGTTCCCAGGCCCCGGAGAGCAGCCGGGGCTCCTCCTCCAGCAGCAGCAACTCTGGTTCCAAAGACCCCTGGGGGACTTGCCCTGCTCTGCTGGAGAGCAGCTCAGTGGCTCGGGGCCAGGGTGGGCTGCGCCTCTGGGGCCTAGGCTGCCATAATTCCCAGTCTGCCCACAGCCCTGTTTTCCCCTTTTAACCTTAAACTTCCACTTCTACTATGTCTCAGTTTGATCAGGAAACTAGAGGAACGATTTCTTTCTCTCCTGCTGTTAGCCTGCTTGCCGGGTGGATGGCTTAGGAAGCTACAGCAACCCCCACCCAAGCAGGCAGCTCACGGGTAGGCACAGCCTCTGTCCCGCAGGGCTGGGCACTGGACAGGTCATTTGGGGTCTGTCTTCAGGCACTCACTGCACAGCTCTCTCCAGGGAATGGAGGAGCCCTGCTGAATGGGTGCAAGAAGCCACAGGCCAAGCCCAGCACGATAGCGTAATAGTTAAAGTCCTTGCCTTGAACGTGCCAAGATCCCATATGGGCACTGGTTTATATCCCAGTGGTCCACCTTCCCATCCAGCTCCCTGCTTGTGGCCTGGGAAAGCAGTCAAGAACAACCCAAAGCCTTGGGACCCTGCACCCACATGGGGGACCTGGAAGAAGCTCCTGGCTTTGGGCTGGCTCAGCTCCAGCTGTTGTGGCCACTTTGGGGAGTGAACCATCAGACAGAAGATCTCCCTCTCTGTATATCTGCCTTTCCAATAAAAATAACTAAATCTTAAACAACAACAAAAAAAAAAAAAGAAGAAGAAGAAGAAGAAGAAGCCACAGGCCAACAGATAAGGGCCTGACCTGCAGATCCCATGTGGGCATTCAGCTCATCACATGTAGCCTGGGCACCCCTTCCCAGAGAGCCTATGCACAGGGGATGCGCACAGGACCCACCCCTCAGCAGGATGGCAGGCAGGGCGGAAGGAGGCGAGGGGACTCAGGACCTCCCAAAGCTCTGGATGTCACCACACACCCTTGGGACTCTGTCCTGCTCCCACCTGCCCTGGACAAGCTGCACAGGCCAGGCCCAGGTGAGGCCAACAATGAGTCCACCTGGAGCACATGTACCAAGCCAGGCAGCTGAGACGGTTCTAGACTGAGCCACCATCTGGGGTCAAGGAACGAGAAGGAAGGAGGAAGGAGACAGTAGACCCAAAGCTCTGGGCTAGGAGATGCAACCTGCATTCGCCAACAAGAAGGGAGCCAGCTACCCAGTAAGTGGAAACAGGGAGAGGGAGAGCTCAGAGGAAGGCCAAGACCCTAGTCCAGAAGAGCGCACGTAGCAGAAACACAGCCAAGGAGCACGCCTGTGTCCCAGCTGTCTCTCTTCCCATCCTCTGGAAGAGGCAGCTGACATGAGCCCAACCCACCCCGAGGAGGGACCAAGCATGGTGGCGGCCCCACGGAAGCTGATAGCAAAGTGGGATGCTGGGAAGCTGCTCCCTCAGGCCTCCAGTCAGCCCTATCCTTTGCACTCAACCTCTGGTCAGTGACTTGAGGCATGCTCTTCAGCTTTCCCCAGAAGAAAACCGCCAGGGACCGGAAGCACAGCAGCTGGCATCTGCACCCACTTGGCTGTGAGACAAAGGCCTAACAGTGATGAGGTCAGAGCCACAGGGCGACGGGACTCATCTCACCCACCCCGTCTTCTGAGCACCTGCTAGGCACTGGGCCCAGGGGTTCAACAAGGAGCAGAGGGCCCAACATTCTGCCTCCCTAAAGCTCCACTCTAGTCAGGGGAGATCACCAGACACAACAAATTACAGAAGGTTAAATGCCTATGAGGGAGAGAAAACAAGGAAAGGGGAAGGAAGTGTGCGGCATGGGTGGGGAGAAGACGAGCGGCCAGAGCAGACAGACAGAATTCCAAGCCATGCAGGAAGCACCAAGGCTGAGACAAGCTCACACCTGCCGAGTCTGAGCCAGAATCCCAGGAAGGCCCAGGCCATGATAGGAGCACCACAGAGCTGTAACCGTGGCCACAGAGTGGGACTACAGAAAGCCTTGCACATTCCAAAGAGGACCGGAAACAGGAAACCAAGGAACGGTTCTGAGAACGGCAGGTGAAACTGCAGTCTTCTGCAGCTGCTGGGTAGAGAACAGTTAGCAAGAGCCAGAAGACCAAGCATATCACCAGAAGAACCCATGTGACAGAAAACAAGGAGGGGATCAGGTGGTGGTAGTGCGGGCAGTAAGAAGTAACCCAACGCTGCTCTGTTCCTTGCCACAGTGACCAAGTTGTCCCCAACCATGCACCCTTCCACTGTTGTTCCCTGCCCTGCCCGGGGGAGCTGACGCTGCCTGGAGGAAGAGGCCTGAACACGGGCCCAGGAAATGGAGGCAAGGGGCAGTGCCAGGGAACTGCCCGTTCCCAGCCCGGCTGTCACCCCAGCAATGGGGCAGGGGCGAGGGCAGTATCTCTAAACTGTTCTGCTCATGCTTTAAGGTCCGGACAGTGTCCCTGACGCGCCTGAGCCAAGCTCACCCTCCTCTCTACAGCCCTGGACTTCACATAGGCTCTAGCTCCAGGTACCACTAAAGGGATCCCCAAGGGTCCCCAGTGCCACTGGCTGTCCCGCCCACTCTCCAGCTAGATTATGAGTTTCCCAATGGAGAAAGGACAGCCCCCGGCTCAGCCTTCCTCCTCTCCAGGCCAGCGCAGTACACAGCAAGGGTGCTAGGGAAGGTCAAGGAATGGACACAGGACTCAGCGGCTGTCCGGAGCTCTATTCAGGGTTCATCGAGCCAGGGGAAGGACACCCCCTTAAAGGGGGCTCAATGTGGCTTGAGGAGCCGTGCAAGCTTTCCTCATCCTTGGAGGACACTACAGAGATCCAAGGACCAGCTGCCCATCAAACTCACCTGCAGGGGAATATGGACCTGAACAAAGCATCTTCTCCCGCATGACCACCATGATCTGCATAGCCCAGCCTGCTTCCTCTCTCTCTGGCCCAGCCACCCCCACAGGGTCACAGAGTTACAGGGCCAGCCTGGCCCACCTCCCTCACCAGGCATCCTCTACTCGGGGCTGGGCTACTCCCTTTCTGCCAGTTTTTGGTTGGGCACTAGGACACTTCCCAGAGTCTCTACTGACTGCCAGGCCTGGATGCCCCATCCCTAGCCCCACCTGCACCTGGAGCCTCCAAAAGGCCATCTAAGAGGTCAGGTTCTTACCAGTTCAGGGTTCAAGGTCCTGTACGCAGCAGCGTCCACTCCCTGGCTGTCAAGGCTGTTTCTCAGGACCATCACCATTGTAAGGACCTCAGGCACGGGGCTGCACCCCAGGACGGGCACAAGCCATCTTCAGTTGAGCACACGGGCAGCAATGAAGCCGGAGCACCTACCAGGGCCAGCTCACTGGCTACTCACCCTCAGCAAGGGGGCCACACGTGGTCACTTCCCTGGAAAGACAAAAGCACAGAGATTCAGGGTTAAGCAGAACAGGACCCCAGAGGGCAGGACCCCAGGGTCTCTCTCTGACCCAGGCCCTAGGAAGCAGGCAGGACAGAGCCCTCCTGCTAGGGGAGACATACTCGGGGCGGGCGGCCACAGCATGACATCACCTCCTCGGCTGGAGCCAGCTCTCTGGCGGGTGGACAATGCTTTGAGGCCCAGCCCTGTGATTCCTGTGAGACCATTCTAAGGCTCAGGGCAGTCAAGAAGCTGAAGCCGTGCAGCCTCTCACCACTCAGCTGGTGCTACAGGCAGCTTCCATAAGCGAGCACCCGGTCTGAGGGTCCCACCGTGCCTAAGGGTGCCTGTGTCTAAAACTGGAGCCAGCCCACCAGCTCCCCCTTCTCCACTGGATTCTAAACAGGAGTGTCCATGAAAGGTACATGTCCTTGTCCTTAGGAGGGTCACTGGGGGTCCTGGGAGCTTGGCCATCTTCTCCAGAACAAACCAGACCACATGCATCTGCAACAGCGAGGACAGCAGCCCCGTCCCCGGCTCCACCATCTCACAGAGCCTGTTTATAGCCTCTCGTGGTCTACCTGCCCCATCACCACCACTCAGCTACCACGCCCAGGCCTGAGAAATCGCTCTGCACAAGTCACACCTTCCCCCTTCCCTGATCCTGCTTCCACCCCTGCGCCCAACCTTCAGATGGCGAGATGCCTGAACAAAGTCACACAGGCACAAAGACACTGAAGATCACCCTCAGAAAGTAAAAGCAAATAAATAAATAGCTGTGGTTAATGGGAATAAATAAAAAGTAGCTCCTAATCTGTAATTAAAAACCAACTGCCCCACACAGCAAAAGGTTGCAGAAGCTGCTGCTTTGGGTAAAAATTAATTGCGCCTTGGTCTTTACTTGCCATCCAGATTGTAAATCATATTTTCCTGTTTACTTCGATTAGACTTTACAGTGGGTGTTATTGAAATTGCTCCATTACAGGCCAGCTGGCAAGCACAGGAAAATTACCTTCAACTGTTCTTCGAAAACAAAGTTCATCCAAAGTGCAAATGCAGACAAGGAGAGGAGGGAAATCAATACATTTTCAAAGACTCACTGTTGAAGAACAGAGGTCCAGGGGGTCCAAGGACGCCCCAGACCATGCTGGGAGACCTGACACCCAGTTTCAATGCCACATTAATCTAGAAGCCAGGCAGCCGGAGCATGCGGGACGTGTTCAAGGCAGGGCTTTCACACGGCCTGACCAAGGTCTGGCCAGACAGCTGAGCCAGGAAGGCCCGCCGGCCCCCTGGGTGCTTGGCTCAGGAGCAAGCAGCAGGGTGCCCATGGATTCCCCCTTCAAAGGGGCCCTTTGTGCAGCCTTGGTGCTGGAGGCCAGGTGGCAGCCATTGCCATTCTGGGTGTGGGCCTCTACTCCGCTCAGGGCGCAGACAGCCACTGGTACCGTGCAGGGTGCTGCAGGGACTCTCCCATCACCCCTGCCTGCTTCTCTCAGGAGGCAGCCAGGTTCATCGGCTGCTGCTCAGGTCCCGAGTCTAGCACACCTAAGCCAAAGATATCCGATCCAAACTCCCTACCAGGAGGCCTGTTCTCCAAACCTCAGAGAAGGAGCCCCTGCTCAGCAAACACTGCCACCGCGGACCCTGCTCTCTCAACGAACACCCAGGCAGCCTCCCTGGGTGGTGTGCAAAGGGCAAGCCAGCGACAGCACCCTACTGAGTGGGGCTTGTGGGAGCACAGGGCACCCACTCAGCAACCCCTACAAAAAATGTGCATGTGACACCTAGGGAACTCAGTGTGTGATGAATGGAATCGCCTGAATGAGCAGCACAGGTCATCCAGGGTTCAAAGCTGGAACCAGAACCCTAGGGGACCAGCTATGAGGCCTGTACCTCGCAGCACAAAGTGCCCCTACCCCACCTCCTGGCCAAATGCACACCTCTGAAACTCACAAGGAAATTGCCAAGGGACCAAGAAATTATTCTCATTAGCAGACTTACATTCACACAAAAAACTGCACTTAAATACTTCATTCATGGCAGCCCAAACAAGGCAAGCACCCAGATGCCACTCCTCGGGTGAATGGTGAAACAGATGCCTGTGGTCCGCACACACCATGGAATATTACTCAGCAATAAAAAGGAGCACACCACGAATGCACTCAATGACTTGGACACACCTCTGAAGAGTTCTGCTGCATGAGGAAAGTCAGTCCCAGAGACTACAAGATGATCCCAACTGCATCATCTTCTCAAAGCAACCAACTGCCAGAGCTGCCAGCCTGGAGTGGGCTGTGGCTGCACGTGTGGACACTGAACAGCAAGCAGAGGGCTCCTCAAGGAGATGGAAGCGCTCGCTCTGTGCCTTGGCTCTGCCGGGGTCCATGCCATGCAGCAGATGCGGTCCCATGGCGTGTGAAGCGTCACTACTGGGAGAAATGGAGGTTCCCCTGTATTTCTTAGAACTGCATGACAGCAAATTCACTTCAAAATGAAGAATTCAAATAAATTCCACTCAATCCACGCATCTGTCAAAACTCAGAACTAACTAAACACCAAAGAGTGAATTGTCCTCCGTGTAAACAGGAGTGGGGAGGAGCTTGCAGCAAGACGACCGTGTGCAAAGATGGGGCTGAAAGGGGGAAGTCCGTGTCTTCTATGGAATCTGGCGACCCAAGCGTTCACCTCAAGCAAGCCACATGCCTTCAGTTTCCTCACCTTCAACGATGGTGTGCTGGCCCTGCACCTGTGATGCCAACATCCCATCCTGGAGTGCCAGTTTGGATCCTTGCTGCTGCACTTCTATTCCAGCTCCCTACCAACACACCTGGGAAAGCCCGAATGCTTGGGCCACTGCCAGCACGTGGGAAACACGGATGGAGTGTGAGACTCCTGCGTCCAGCCTGGACCAGCCTCAGCTGCTGCAGTCATCAGGAAAACAAACTGGTTGGAAGTTATCTCCCCCACCTGCACCTGCTGCCCCAAGCTCCCTGTCATTCTGCTTTGAAGTAAGTGATTCTTTTTTTAAAAAACTGAAAACAAAACGGGTATGACAGGGGTGGGCACTGGCACAGAGCTTAAGGCACAGTGTGGATTCCTGCATCCCATATTGGAGGCCCTGGATTTGTGTCTCAACTCTGCTCCCAAGTCCACTTCCTGCTAGAACACCTCTGGGAGGCAGCAGACAGGGGCTCCAGCTTCTGCAGCTGCAGGGTCTGGGGAGTGTGGGGCAGATGGAAAAATCTCTCCAGTGGGGGGCGATAATCCTTTTGCCCTGGGGGCTGCTGGTGATTTAAATGGGCCCAGCATTCCTGCTCCCTTGAGGTGTTGTCACACCCTTCCTGTCTGTCATACACAGCCGGCTCCCTCCCCACGCTGCCACCCTCCACATCTGGAATTGCCCAGGGTCAGCCAGAGAAAGGCCAGGAAGGGTCTCCACTCGGCTGTCACTTTAGCTGACCACAGGGACACAGTGCTCTCAAGGCTGCCACCCCAGGGCCTCCACACAGTGACTCATTCACCAGAATTTCCAACCCACGAGCAAGAAGCCACGTCTGACTGCAGCAGCACATTCCCTGGCGGCAGCCCTGGTGACAGATGGCCCTGCCCACGTCCTAAGGTGGCTGCTTCTATCTGCCTGGACCAGCCTGGAGCCCCATGCAAGGCTGCAGCACAGATGGCACCCACCCCAGCACCCACCTGTCATGAGGTGCCCCACAAAGTGCCCCACATCTGTCTCCTCTCTGACCATCAGGAACACAATGCCTCTTTTCACATACTCCTCTACAGACGTGGTAGTATTCCCACTTGTCAGATGAGAAGCCTGAGGCCTCAAGAAAAGAAATCAAATCGTTTGTCAATATCCTACAGCTGGCAGGGGCCTCAGCTGCTGACACCATGGGGCTGGGACAGCACTGCTCTCACACAAGTCCTTCCCAGCAGGATCTTCCACGCATGCACCTTTCTTTGTAACCTTTGAACACAGCTGCCTGATCTGGCTTGTGGTCTGAGACACAGTTACTGGCGAACAGGATCTGCTGGGTTCATCCAGTTCAAGGGAGGAATGAATGCTAACTGGATCCACACTCCAAGTTTAGTAAACTCTATAATTCTACATCACGTGGCTTTGCCACCAAGTGCTTCAGTGGGCTACCCCTTAAGTAACTGGCCATGGTGGTAATGGTCTAGACAACTGAACTCTGCCTGCTCTAGATATCTCTGGCCTGACCTTAACTATTTGCAAAGGAGTTTCTCACTGTCCTTAAAAACAGAACTCACACCCAAAATGTGCACATGAACTTGGCCTCGGACAGCCATTTTCTGATGGGCCTAGTCATTGCATTCAGAGCTTCCACTTCCCCTCTGGCGCCGGAAAGGAAATGGGAGGAAAACAACAATTCCACAAGGTCTCCGTGAAGGCCCTGCACACTTTCAAACTTGCGTAACCCTGGTGGTGGGCGTGACACAGGCAATGGAGCAAGAAGCCCCAAGAAGTGCTTCTCCACAGACCCCACTGCCCTGGCCTGACTGCTAACAGAAGACAGGAGAAGGGCTGTGAAGGGAACAGCATCCTGGGGGGGGGGGGGGGCGGGGGGAGGCCAAGCCTCACCCTGCACAGCCAGGGGAAGTGAATCAGGCTGCAGAGGCCAAATGTCAGCAGCTGCCAAGGCGTGTTCTCAGGAGCCTGCACTTTCCCAGAGCAAGCGGACACTGGCCAGAGTCGGACACCCCACCAGGGGACAGGCCCCACATTGCAGCTGCCATCCACCCCAACCGGTTCCCTGGGCCCAGCTGCCCGCCTGAAAGGTGATGGATCGAGGTGGATCGACCTTTGCTGTCTTCCA